TAAGCTTATGAGGTTTTATCACGCGTTCACGGACAAGCACTGAGCATACAGTGCTTATTAATATACGTTGGGTAAGGGCAAAACCGGTTATATATAAAAGAACTGGCATACAACAATACAATCATTAAAATATTTAATGTTTTTATACTAACATTTACAACATAAGACTTGTAACCCGTCAAGTCAAAACCCAAAGTAAATCCACCCCAGGTCTCATCTAGAATGGTTGTACTTCAAAGTGAGTTTATGAGTGATGTAATAAAATGATAAAAAGATGTACATGTAGTATAATAAGATGGTTAAATTATACGTGCAGAGCATGATTTGGAATGGCCCCAAGAGCACACAAAATGCAGGGTGATAAAATTTAATGGATTTTTTCAACTTGTAAATTGGAATTTAACGGAAAAAGAACCTTCAATCTGTCATGGGATGAGAAGAAAATGAACTTGAAAACAACATTTTCAGAATTAACTTACCTTTGCTGCTTGTGATAATTTTAATGTGGCGTCCCCTGATATACATGTATCTTATAGCATTAGTGACATGTATTAGCCTGAATCAGTTTCTTGATTCTCTTTCAATAAACATACTCCTTAACATCTAGAAATAAATATGAAATTAAATAGTTTTTTAATTCGGCATGATCACATCATTAACTTCACTGTTTTGGGCAAGTTAAAAAAGTGACGCCCCTTATAAATATTGTTACATCAGTGATTTTTGCTAGCCGAAAGTCGTGTGTATATTGTTTGAAACGGGTTATAAGTTGGGTTTAAGTAGGTTGTACAGGATAGAGCTACATTCCCACTCATAGGCAGACAAAGTTTTATTGTACTCATCTGATTTATCAAGACACGATGTCTTCACATACAAATGTTACATCAGTGATGTTACTTTGAGAATAGAAAAGTGATATAATTGCCGTTTCTTACAAAACTTATTACCTATTTTGTTGAAACTGCTTTGTACCAAGTTCATTTTGAATGCTACCATTACTGGATTATTTGGGTTTACTAATTGTGGTAAAAAATTTAATGTGAGTTGGATTTACCTGAGCTTTTGCAAACTTTGTGCTTCATTTACTCCAGAGTCCGAGTAGCAGTGGAATACAATTTGGGGGTCTTTAATGTAAAGATAATTAGGAGTTGAAACCACAATAAAAATCCTTAAAAAGATAAACACACCAATTTTACAATATTTTACAATTTTGAAATGACGTCCCCATTACATCAGTGACTTCCATCACCGTCCTGCAGTGATGTGCCAGGATCGGTTTTTGAGGGTAAAATGTTGCAAAATGTATGTTTGTTTGATTAACTGCATGAGATGGCCAAACAGACATTGCCATTAAACGGCTTCTTAACCCAACTTGAAATATTGGCTTCTATGTCACGTTTTGTTTTTGTGTCCAAACTTCATGGAATAACCCAATAAAAATGTACTTTAGCATTGAGGTACTTGTACTCAATTAACTGTACTTAATAAAAACTGTTCAAATCCTATAACAGCCATTGAAATACAACAGTATCTATCCATCATGGTCTGACAAACACAAGGCCTACAAATTTGCCGTCTTATCCAATTACAAATGCGAAATGCCGGTGTATTCCCAGTCTTGGTTCCAAGACCTTCCTCTTGATTCCTCAACACAAACCATCACGTAGCGGCCGGAAGGGGCACTGTCACTTTTTGTTAGTTTATAAAGTACACGTACACCGCACACTGCATGCAATAACAGATTGCACCACTGCAAAAAGTATCTTGGATAGAAGACTAGTAACACTCAATTTAGTTGCAGCTAGGCTGGTTCCCTGACCTGATATAGAATCTAGAATACAGAAAAACACGGGCTTAGGAATATTAAGTCTGGAAAGCAGATTACACCATCTACATTTATGCGTTCGCATTGTGTGTGCATAATGCATCACGAGTTGGAGTTGTGGCGGCTCTGTACATTGTACACGTGTACATGTATGCATAGATCACCAATCACAACTCCATTGTAATGAATATTTCGGAATGTTTTTGGTTGGCATGACAGTCAAACAGAGTTTTAGCTGGTAACCTTTGTTTTTGAGCAAGGTTTTTTGGCACCTCAACAAATTTTGTAAGCAGCTCTGTGAAATTGGGCCTTGCATCAATGGCATTTGCTTATTCTTGATAATTCTACATTTTACGTGTACCTCTGAGACTAAATTATGCTTGTTGTTGTTGCTGGTTGATTAGAACTGATGATCTTTCTCTTGCCGTATAAATGTTGTACTTCTGTGTTTTGCCAAGGAGCCTAAAATACAGTTTGGGGACTAAATATAATCTGCAACTTTACCATTAGTGATTTTGGAATGCTATGGAAGATGTAATAAAAACAATCACATATTTAACTATTTAGCCTTCCCAGACTTAAAGTACTATGACTTGTAATTAGATGTACTCATACTCAAGTACTGGTACCGGTACTTGTACTCGGAGGTACATGTATAAGTAGTGCTGCAACCAAACCGACCCAAACCAAACCGAAAATCATTGAAATGGCACTTTTGAATTGAACCAAACTGTTTGGTTCATATGTTAAGCGTTGATGTGGCATGGCATTGATAATGCACACAAGAAAACATGATAAAAAAGCAAACACAATGAAAAATTGATAACAAGTTGTGCCGCACCGGTGCTTGGNCACATGTGCGTGTACACACATACTCTAACTGTACATGTACCGGAACACGTACATGTATATATGCAGTAAACATATGATGGTCCCACATCATAAGATGGCTGTTAACCCCTTCGTGCTGGGAAGCGGCAAGAGCTGCGCCTGGAGCAAAGGCTAGTAACCGGGAAGCGGCTGCAGCCGCATACCACACCTGTAACTTTTATTCAGTGTACACCTGTAATTACTGAAACCTTTGCATTGAATGGAAATCTGGGGCAACCTAGAGAGTTCGTTGATCCCTGATGCTTGGTTAATGTTTTTTTTCATCAAAACACCCCTTTGTCTTTGCTTGAATACCCTGGGTAATCACTGAGGAGCAGAGCTCGAGGCCGTGGACAGGGCTTATGCAACGTATTTTGTGTGGGCCGAGAGCGTGATGAATGCAGGCCATTGACATGGTGTGCGCACCGTTGTTTATGGCCCTGCTGGGCTGGGAACACGTGGGCAGCACATCAGCATCACACACTCGGGGTATAGACGGGCCATTATTCAGTGTAATTGGTTATTTGTTTTGTCGAAAAGCAGCGTTTTCTGTGGCGCTGGGTATATATTTGCCTGGCCACTTCCCGGCCCTTCAGTTGCATTACACAATGATTTTCAGCGATGAGGAAACTTTAACCGTGACTAGTGGTTCAGATTTCATGTCGGAATCTGAACATATTCAGAAAATGTAACTGGTGACAGCGATTCTAACGGGCAACCATCGTTAGCGAGGCCTGCCAAGAAGGTCAAGACTTTGTCCATTCAATGGACGGCTGATGACAATTACCCTCGTTGAAATGGCTTTCAAGGCACAGTGGGTGTTAAAGTACAAGAACTGGACAAGAACAGCACTCCTCTCGAAATCTTCAAGCAGTTTTTCACCCCAGAGCTGACGTTGCACATTGCCAACGAGACCAACCGCTATGCCGCAGAACACCCGAAAAGTCAACCAGAAGCAAGTTCAGGTCACATGCGCAGCTGGTTCGACATAACACCAGACGAGATGTCAGTGTTCCTGTCCATGATGATAGTCATGGGATTGATTCGGAAAACCGACTTGAAGTCCTACTGGACGAAAGACTCAATACTTCAGACTCCGTCTTTTCCTGAAACCATGCCCCGCGACAGATTTATGGACTTGCTGGCCTATCTGCATTTGCGTCGATAACAGCCATGCAGATGTGACTGATCGACTCTACAAGCTCTGCCCGGTGATAGATGAACTGACCGAGAAGTTCAAGTTAAAATCTTCACTGGGTATTAGCTGAAATATAAACTGGTGAAGCGCACTCAATGTACAAGTTGGGGCTGGGCATTGATGCTGGGCATGCACGGACTACTGGAAAGCGGGCACATGAGCTACGGTGCCCGCTAAAAGTAAGCATTGACCGTGTGAACTTAGGGGGCGCTGCATTCTCCGCTGTGACCGAGCGTCCTTCGGTAGTTGGTGTCGTCACATGGGCAAGGCAAGTGCTGGGTATCTGGTATTTTGTTGAATGGGATCCAAATACCCCAGCAGGCTTCATGACTACACAGAGCCAGGCTGTGTGCAGTGTGTGACCCAGCAAACTTGGCAGACAGGCCTGGTGGCCAATGTAGCCATCTGCGGTTGCCGTTAGCAAAATTCGGAAAATAAACCCAGAAGCCAGGTGGGTTGCGGTAAAAATATCCCGACGTGAAGGGGTTAAGACCACGTGGCGAGAATTCACTAATAATCAACCGAGGACATGCAACGTACATTTGCTGCATTTCCACTTAACAACAAGTTTAAGTTCTCACTACATCCAATTGTGCTTATGTATT